GTATTTCTTAAGATTAGAACACAATGATTGCTAATTATTAAACAATTATTACTCAGTTGAAACTCGAATGCAATAATGATTACAGGATAGTCGAAACAACTACTTACTTACTTACTTATCTTCACGCACAATCCCTAACGGGGTAGCCAGAGAGAACAGATCGCCAAGTGTCACGATCCTTACAAACCTCTTTCGCTTCTTTCAGATTCATTATCTTCTTCATGCATGCACGTCTAGGTATCCGAGTACTCTTGACCCTACCCTCTTCGAGTAATTTGCTCACATGGTCTTCGAAAGTTAGTCTCGGTCTACCTCGACACCTTTTAATATTAACTTTCGCGCTATATATTTTCTTCACCATTCGGTCTTCACTCATTCGCTCAACGTGCCCAAACCACCGAAGCACGCCCTTATCAATTTTTGTGATAAGGTCATCTTTCAAACCTGCCATATTGCGAATCTCTTCGTTTCGCTTTCGGTCGGCCATGGTAACGCCGCACATTTTACGAATAGATCGCATCTCCACTGCATTCAACTTACTTTTATGCTTCTTCTGGCATACCCAGGTTTCGCTGCCATATAACAAAGTCGGTACCAACACTGCGTTATGTATTGCAAGGCGTGCACTCTTCGCTACGCCTTGCCTTTTGACTAACGCAGTCAGGGCACCATTGACTTTGTTACCGGCAGCGACACGCCTGTCCACATCTAAATCACATCTTCCATCCCGGCTAAAAGCACTCCCCAAGTATACAATTTCATTTACCTGTTTAGACATTCCTGATTTACCCATATTTCACACTTCGTTCTCTCTTCGTCCCTTTCAAATACCAGAACCTTAGTTTTATTAGCATTCAAACGGAGACCTTTAATTTCACATTCCTCTTTCATACACGTGACTAATGCCTGCAGTTCTGTCTCTGATGGTGCAATAAGCACTGCATCATCAGCATACAGCAGACAATTTACTTTTATGTCACCCAATTTCACACCCAAACAGCTATCTTTCAGCTTCTGTAAACAGCTGTCGAGATACAGTATGAACAGCCAGGAAGACATGACACAACCCTGCTTTACGCCCGTTTGGACGTTAAACATGGGTGACAGGTCATGCCCTACCCGCACACAGGCTTTACAGTCACAGTAAAGAGACTGCACAGCCCTTAGCAATCGACCATCCACACCATACCCCGGCAACAGTTCCCACATTTTCTTCCTTACAACCTTATCAAATGCTTTCTCAAGATCCACAAAAGCACAGAAAATCTTCTGGTTAGCAGCCAGAAGCTTCTCCGTGATCATGCGGAGAGAAAACATTTGATCCGTGCATCCTCTTCCAGGTCTAAATCCGCATTGTGCCTCCCATAGAAATCTTTCCGATTTCTCTTGCATCCTACGTTTCAAAACCTTCGAGTAAACTTTACTTGCTAAACTGGTCAAGCTGATCGCCCGATAGCACCCGCAGTCAAAATGTGAACCTTTACCTTTATATAAAGGCACAATGACTGCGGATAGCCAATCATCCGGGACATCCCCCGTCCGCCAGCACAAATTGCACAGCAGATGAAAGCTGTCCCAGACATTAATGAGGGTCATTGTAGAAGCGTGCTCGTCGCGACCCCTGCCAGCCCTTTTCAGGGCTGCAATTCTACTTAACTGCGCACCCATGCCAACGAGGGTTAGGGCGTCCCCCCAAGGCGACGCACACCAACTCGTCCCCGTTGGTGTGGAATGCAGCGCGCAAAGCGGCGATGGGGACCGCCACCCGTCACGCACAGCCCGACACGGCGGAACGTGGAGGACAGAGTGCAGAGTTGGCACGTGGAATGTTAGAGGAGGCATGAGAGATAAGACGAATGAAATGATCGAAATAATGAAAGAAAGAGAATTAGATGTCGTGTGTATGTCGGAGACCAAACGGAAGGGCATTGGTACTGAAGAGCTCCCTGGCGGGGCGTTTGCTCTATGGTCCGGAGTCCCGGAGAGCGAGAACGCCTGCCAGGGAGTGGGGGTGCTGCTGTCTTCTCGGTTGGTCTATGTTATGACTGAATATAAGTTTGTGAACTCAAGACTTCTCTGGGTTTGCTTTAAATTGGGACTGACGAAGTTATTCCTTTTGGCTGTTTATGCGCCGGTAGCTTCGTCGTCCAGGGCTGAGCTGGAGGAGTTTTGGGAGAATGTAAGAGAAGTTCTAGATTTGGCTAGGGGAAACGAAAGAATTGTTGTATGTGGTGATTTGAATGGATGGGTTGGTACCGCTCGACCAGGGTACGAGTCGGTACTTGGAAAGTTTGGCGATAAAAGGGTTAATGATGCTGGCAAGCTTATACTGGCGGTGTGCAAGGAAAAGGGTCTTCTTGTGACAAACACTATGTTTAATCACAAGAAAATCCATATGTATACTAGAGAACGAAAGAATGAGAGAAGTATGATCGATTTCTTCCTGGTGGATGACCGACTGCGAAAACAGGTGATGGATACGCGAGTGTTCAGGGCTGCTGACCTGGGAACGGATCACTATCTAGTGATTACTAGATTTAGGGGTCTGTTCGCGGGTTGGCGCTACCGGACGGCAGTAACAGAACCACAGTCGGTCTGTCGCATCCGAAGCTGGAAGCTTCAGGAAGCAGATACTAGGGACAAATATCATGCGAGGGTAGCCGAAAAGCTTGACATCATCGATGGCAGAAATGAATGTGTAGAAAGAACATGGCAGAACCTTAGGGATGGAATGGTAAGTGCAGCGGAAGAAGTGTGTGGAACAATAAAAAGAGGCAGTAGTAAAAGAAGAGATGCATGGTGGAATGATGAAGTGAAAGAAGCTGTAAAGAAGAAGAAGAAAGCATGGTTAGACTACTTGGCCTCTAGTAATGATAAGGATATGAGAGAGAAGATGAAAGAAAGATATAGGCTGCAGAAAGTTCACACGAAAGCACTGATTGAGGAAGTGCGTGAAAGGTGTAGAATGGAAGCAGACGAAAGGTTGTCGTACAACTTTAAGGAGAACTCCAAACTCTTCTGGAAAGAGGTTGGAAGGACCCGAAATGGTGCGACGGCCTTAAGAATGAACAAAGTGCTTTCGTGAACTAATGACGTCCTCTCAGAAAAATCGGACGTCATGCAGCGATGGAGCGAATTTTATAGAGAAATGTATGCGTGTAATGATCTTAGTGAGGGATCCGGGGATGACGCCGTGACTGGTACGCCAGACCCGGACCTCAATGACACTGAGGTCATCAGTATGAAAGAGATTGAACGTGCGATTCGAAGTTTGAAATGTGGTAAAGCTGCGGGACTAGACAGAGTTACTGCTGAAATGGTCTAGTATGGTGGGCCTCGAAACAACTACATTTAAAATATTTATAATTGAGCTTTTAAAACAATGTAATAACTATTTCACTAGTATTTCTTTTACGTGAAATAATTAAATTACAAATATTACTAGGTAACAATGCATTAAATCATTAATTAAGATTTCATTTGAAGACCGAAGCGCGTGCGGCGACACGGCCATTCTGATATGCGATGCGTGCCCTGCAGCGCTTAATCTTTCTTGTGTAGTTGTTTCTGAAATAAATTATAGAAATATTTTTGAGGCTAGGTACTTCAGTAGTAAACCTAAGCACAAAGTTTAATTAAGCTGTTCACTACGCGGGCCGTACGAGATATGTGTAGTTAGGTTAATATTGTAACTGCTCATTCCACATGAAAGAGTTATAAATGGTCGGCTCCACACGCCAATAACATCTTTAACATTGTATTTGGTGATTGTACGAGTCAACACGTCAATAACATCTTTTTTTTAAATATGTTACGTAATAATGTATGTGTGATTGTTAAGTAAGAATATAACATGAAAGGTTCTCACCAGGATGGAATCCATAGCTTCCTGTGTTTCTTTAATCGACTATTGAGTGGTTCTTGTCTGTACTAGCACTAACTAGTTTTATTTGTTTATTTTACTTGTTTTTATTTGTATTAACAATGCCGGATGCTCCTTGATGCTCGTCTCTGTCTGTGGGCGACACGGCCGCCTGGGGGTTTACGACTGCACCCGGTTGTGGGGCACGTCGTGACTGGTCATGTGCGACTTTACAGGGCCGACCATGGTGACTGACAACTTTATTCACGAGGTATCGGTCGTTATCGAGCACTCGATGAATTTCATAGGGCACACTAAACTTGAGGTCCAACGAAGTCTGGTTTCTGGGATTATTTTTTATTAAAACGAAGTCTCCCCGTTGGAAGTTATGTACCTTAGCCCGTCCTTTGTCAAACCTGAGTTTGTCTTTTGCTGACGCCTCGGTCATCCTTTGTTGCACATGAAATTGCAATGCATCGTAATCGATGGATGTGGTATCAAAATTTACCAAATTAAGTAGCTTGGGGGGTACACAGTTTGATCGTCGGGTGAGAAGTGTAAGAGGAGTAGTACCTGTCGTTCTATGTACGGTACAGTTGAATGCCAGTTGTAAGCTCTCCAGCGCTGTATGCCATTCTGGGGTCTCGTAGTTCTTAATCATAATGAGTGCGTTCTTTAGAGTTGACATGACCCTTTCTACCTGTCCGTTTGCTCTGCTGACGCCTGGTGCAATAGTGTGTATATTGATACCAAATCTGTCGCATTAATTTTTATATTCACCTAAATATTCACACCCACCATCCACAATAATTTGCCTAAGTATTCCAAAAAAATGTACTCGTATAACTTGCTTCAATGCTCCAAGTGTGCTATGTTGTCTTTTGTCATTGCAATAGCGCAGTAATACATAATTTGAGAACGCATCTATGGTCACAATGACATATTCCTGATCATTAGGTGTGCCAAGCTTTCCTGTAGCATCCATATAACTTCAAATGGCATAGTAGGCTTTGAAATTGGATGCATTTGTACTTGCGTTGCTCCAGATGTTTGCTTCGATGTTCTGCAGATAACGCAGTTATTTACAAAATCTCGGATGATTGTAGTCATATTCCCAAAGTAGTAAGTCTCTCTAATTTTATGAAGAGTTTTCTCCCATCCTAGGTGCTTGAGGGCAGTGTGGTATGTGTTTATTAGATTCCACTGAAAGGACTTTGGTACTACAGTCAAATTTTTGTACACCTAAAATCGGATCTGATCTTTCACGCTTAAGAACGTAACTTTCAAGCAAATACCCTGGAACGACAACACCGTTGTGTAAAGAGTCTATGACAAGATGCAGCTGGGAATCTTGTCGCTGTTCAAAGTTAAGCCATTCCAAGTTTCTTGTCATAACATTAACATTCAGCGAGAGCGGATTTCTACTAAGGAAATCAGCATGTTGCACTCGTTCACCTTTTCTGTATTCTATGTCAAACTCAAAATTTTCGAGATAGGACCACCACCGGTGTATGCGAGGGAGAAGGTCTTGTTTGTGCTTTGAAGCTCTTAGTGCATTGCAGTCCGTGATCAATTTAAATTTACGTCCGTACAGAAAATGTCGGAAGTATTTAAAGGCGCGAACTACTGCCAGCGTCTGTGGTACGCATAATAAAGTAGGGTACGGCATGTTTTCGACCGTTAATGATCTGAATTAGTATTGCCCCAAAGACGATGCTACTAGCATCGGTAAATAATTCTATAGGTTCACCTTCTCGAAATATTGTGAGGGTTGGTGAACAAGTAAGGTGGTGGATGATCTTCTGACGTACCTCTTCGTGAAAGTTAGTCTATTCCCATTTAATACCTTGTTTGGTAAGATTATACAGAGGGACCATAACTCTAGCAAAATAGCCAGCAAGGCCGTTAAACTGGCCAACTTGTTTTATGGTAGTTGGGACGGGAGCTTTTATTAAGGCATCAATCTTTTTAGGGCTTGGACGGACTTCACCATTTTCTATGATGTTGCCAAGATACTCAATAGAACGTTTGAAGAAGAGACATTTTTCTATGTTGATAGAGAATCCAGAATCACGTAATGCGATTAGGATTCTTTCATTTTACTAATGACATTTACTAATGACATCATCAATATATACTTGTGCGACGCTATCGTTATGACCATTGTTGGAACTGCCTGGATTTAAGAGCGGTCCTAGCCCACGGTTTATACATCTTTAGTACACTGATGGTGCATTACAAAGGCATGGTTAGGTATTCATAAAGACCATCAGGTGTCATGAAAGCAGTCTTTTCCACTGAATTAGGGGAAATGGGTATCTGATGAAATCCAGAGGCCATATCAAGAGTCATGAAGTAATGACCACCAGCCAGCTGATCGATCTGGTCCGCGATCAACGAAAGAGGATAATGATCGCGTACCGTATTGGCATTTAGTTCGTGATAGTCTACGCACATTCTATCGTCTCAGTTTTTCTTCTTGACCAGGATAATAGGGCTAGAATAAGGGGATTTACTTTCTCTGATTATTTTATGTGTAGTCAATTCAGAAACTATACCTTTAACTTTCTGGCGCTCAACGGGACTTAATCTATAGGGTCTACGTTCTAAATATTTATCGGGGCTTTTAAGACGGATTTCTAATTCACTAGTGTTAACGTGAGATTTGGCGTAACCTTGAGTAAAGACAAAAGAGTACTTATTAAGAAGAGCAAGTAGTTTATCTCAAACTCATCAGTTAAATCATGATTTAAATTTTCAAAAATAGGACTATGAGGTCGTATATGCATGACACGAGTTTGAGATATTAGCGTAGCACTATTTCGGGTAACGATTACACTTAGACCAGTTTCATGGAGTATGTTTGCACCAATTAAAACGTCTGACGTCATTTCAAAATCGGGTAGTAGGTGAAACAAGATCTCTACATGAATATTATTTATCACGCATATAGCCGTTAACGTTCTGGTAGATATAACAGGGAATGGACCTATTCCACGTAAATAGTTCACAACTTGATTCTTATGCCCTGGCAATTTATTCGCAATAGATTCATGCATAATGGAACACTCGGCCCTGCTATCAAAAACAGTATTTATAAGCAAATTACCTACTCGAACACGCATGGTGTTTAAGATAGAATTACGGGTACTATCACTCACTAAATTTACACTAGAAGTTATTTGTTTTTCGCGGCGAAAACACGTTTCGAATGTGTGGCCAGGCTTTGAACAAAACGAACAAAATTTACTATCACTAGTTGTAGCTAATGGCGTCGGCCGATTTTTATCGAAAGACAGGCCATTAGAATTACTTTTATTACGGCAATTGTCAGAAGTATGACCGATCTTTCTGCAAAAACTACATGAAAAATTTCTGTTATCAAGAGAATATTTAAAGCGTTTTTGGGGCGGTAGATTTGAATTATTTTGCGATGCAATGGGACGCTTAACACGAATGGATGTTGCCGAGAATTGATATAATTCTGGCACCGAGGTCACATTCATTAACTCAATTCTAAGGCGTTCGTCACCCACCGTTCCGATAACGGCCTCTACAGCATCACTGTTTTCGAGTTTGTCTTTCGTCACGCGTCTCCATAGAAGCCATGCCAGAGATAAGAATTCTGCGATATCTTTAGAAGAATCATAAACTTGTTCTCTAAATCTCAGTACGTCACGCGAGTAACGGCTCTCAGGTTCGAAGGTGGTGACAATGTTCTGACGCAACTCTTCCCACGTAGAAGTCGTTACTAGCCAGTTATCGGCCCACATTTTAGCACGTCCCTTTAGTAGTAGTTTAGGTTAGTAACTTTCATTCGAATGCCATAATCATTGAGTTGATAGGTGTCTTTAGCCGAAGAAATGTGGTTGCACCACTCACGTACACCGACATTACCGTCTGGGTCATAAGATGGCAGAAACACATCAGTTATTTTAATTTTGTCACTAGATTGTTGCAAAAGCCGCTCACTCATATTCTGCATCATGGTCATCATATGCATAAAGAACTCAGGCGGAACGTTACCCAAATGTAGGCTTGGTAACAAAGGGTTGCTGGGCAAGTTCGTAGGTAGAGCCGCTATTGAAGCTGACGTGCCCGAGGCGAACGTGCTCTGTGGAACCTCCAGTATAGTCAGGACATGAAGAATTTTGAACTGTAGAAAAGGATCACTGGGGCGATCCCACTTCTGATGTCGGATTTTGACGTCCATTACAAATATTAAAATGAGCAGAACTATGAACTCCATCGGAGTCATCGGTTCTGCTATTGAATTAATTCATGACAAATAACTATCACACCACAATAAAACAGCAATTCACTTATTATTTCTAATTAGAATAGTTTGTTACATAGAAATATAATAAAGTTCACAGTAATTATTAACAAACATAAATAATAACACGATTTACTTATTCAAAACTTAAATTACTTACAGTATTTGCTTTCGACCTTTACACCTCAAGCGCGGACCAAATAATGACCGTTCCAATTATTATTCTGTAAAGGTGCACAACGCCATCACTTCCGCGCGGTTGTAAAGATGCGCGGGCCAATGGCGTTGCGCGAGCCTTCATGTTTAAATCAGTTTAACTAATTTTAATCTAAATCGAAGTATAAAGAGTTCATTGTTTGGACTCATAGTAAGCCTGTAGTTACTAATAATTAAAGACAGAATTTCTTAAGATTAGAAAACAATGATTGCTAATTATTAAACAATTATTACTCAGTTCAAACTCGAATGCAATAATGATTACAGGATAGTCAAAACAACTACATTTAAAATATTTATAATTGAGCTTTTAAAACAATGTAATAACTGTTTCACTAGTACTTGTTTTACGTGGAATAATTAAATTACAAATATTACTAGGTAACAATGCATTAAATCATTAATTAAGATTTCATTTGAAGACCGAAGCGCGTGCGGCTACACGGCCATTCTGATATGCGATGCGTGCCCTGCAGCGCTTAATCTTTCTTGTGTAGTTGTTTCTGAAATAAATTATAGAAATATTTTTGAGGCTAGGTACTTCAGTAGTAAACCTAAGCACAAAGTTTAATTAAGCTGTTCACTACGCGGGCACAGCCTGTCTGAGATATGTGTATTAGGTAACTGCTCATTCCACATGACAACAGCCATAAAATAAATTTTGTCATTGGTCGGCTCCACACGCCAATAACATCTTTAACATTGTATTTGATTATTGTACGACTCAATACGTCAAAACATTTTTTTAATATGTTACGTAATAATGTATGTGTGATTGTTAAGTAAGAATATAACATGAAAGGTTCTCACCAGGATGGAATCCATAGCTTCCTGTGTTTCTTTAATCGAATATTGAGTGGTTCTTGTCTGTACTAGCAATAACTAGTTTTGACGCAGATTGGGTTGGTGATGGTGCTGTCTCCAGCGTATTAACAATGCCGGATGCTCCTTGATGCTCGTCTCTGTCTGTGGGCGACACGGCCGCCTGGGGGTTTACGACTGCATCCGGTTGTGGGGCACGTCGTAACTGGTCATGCGCGAATTTACGGGGCCGACCATGGTGACTGACAACTTTCTTCACGAGGTATCGGTCGTTATCAAGCACTCGATGAATTTCATAGGGCACACTAAACTTGAGGTCCAACGAAGTCTGGTTTCTGGGATTATTTTTTATTAAAACGAAGTCTCCCCGTTGGAAGTTATGTACCTTAGCCCGTCCTTTGTCAAACCTGAGTTTGTCTTTTGCTGACGCCTCGGTCATCCTTTGTTGCACATGACATTGCAATGCATCGTAATCGATGGATGTGGTATCAAAATTGACCAAATTAAGTAGCTCGGGGGGTACACAGTTTGATCGTCGGGCGAGAAGTGTAAGAGGAGTAGTACCTGTCGTTCTATGTACGGTACAGTTGAATGCCAGTTCTAAGCTCTCCAGCGCTGTATGCCATTCTGGGGTCTCATAATTCTTAATCATAATGAGTGCGTTCTTTAGAGTTGACATGACCCTTTCTACCTGTCCGTTTGCTCTGCTGACGCCTGGTGCAATAGTGTGTATATAGATACCAAATCTGTCGCAATAATTTTTATATTCACCTAAATATTCACGCCCACCATCCACAATAATTTGCCTAGATGTTCCATAAAGATGTATAACTTGCTTATATATAGGATAGGTAACTTGCTTATAGATAGGTAACAATGGATTAAATCATTAATTAAGATTTCATTTGAAGACCGAAGCGCGTGCGGCGACATACTGCACACAGTGTGCTAAATTTCATTTAAATCAGTTCAGTAGTTTAAGTGGCGTGCGTGCGTGCTTGCGTGCGTGCGTGCATGCGTGCGTGCGTGCATTCGTGCGTGCGTGCGTATTGGCGTGGGTGCTGCGTGCGTGCGTGCGTGAGTGCGTGTGTGCGTGTGTGCGTGCGTGAGTGTGTGCGTCTGTGCGTGCGTGCGTGCGTGCGTGCGGGCGTGCGTGCGTGCGTGCGTAATTCTTCTAGATGGATTCTGTTATGAATCACCAAACGTTACACTTAAAGGCACGGAAATAGGAAATATAAAAATAAAACATCTTACCTAGTTTTAGGTAACACTTCATTCCGGTGATTTTGTTATTATTACTAAAACGTAACTTCTTCTATACAAATAAATGTAATTGAAGTGTATGTTTGTAATAT